GCTCCGGGCGCTCCGGGTCCGCCTCCACCGCACGCCTATCCGTTCGCGCCGGCCGCCGGGGCCGCCACCAGCGCCGCCGCCGAGCCTGAGGGCCCCGGGGCTAGTTGCGCGGCCGCCGCCAAGGCGCCGGTGAAGAAGAACGCAAAGGTGGCCAGCGTGAGCGTGCAGCTGGAGATGAAGGCGCTGTGGGACGAGTTCAACCAACTGGGCACGGAGATGATCGTCACCAAAGCCGGCAGGTCAGGGCGCCCCCCACCCGCGACCCTCCCCACGTGGCGCCTCTCGGCTCGCCTGCGGATCCGCGCTCACCGGTCGGACCCAGGGGGAGGGGAGGTGGGGGTGCGACCCGGCACCTGCGGGCCCCTCTAAGCCGGCCGTCTCCTGGGCTTCCCATGGACCCGGCTCCGGCGACAGCCGCCTGGTGCCCGGGTCGGAAGAAGCAGTATGGCCTGGCATGGGGCCTCGGCCAAGACGAGCCCCGTAGGACCGGCGAGTCCACCCGCCCACCCTGGGACTACTCGTTTCGAAAAAGTAAGGGCCGGCTCGAGAACCCCCGTAGGAGAAGGAAGTCGGGCCACCTTGTCCCCCTGCCATTCGTGGATCCTACCTCAAAGAGATCTTCCCTGGCTTGGGTTCCCGAATTCACTCTATACGGACAGAATAAAGGGGGACAGTAATTGTCCAGATAATTTTAAGAGAGAATGAAGCCCCTTGAAAATAGTGCATCCCGTTCAGTTGAATTTGTGGGCCGATTCTCTTGGCCTAAATTTCCGGAGCCCATGAGCCTGACTCTGCGTGGGGCTGTGTGGGGCCCGCTGCCCTCAAATTGGCCTGTGTTTGTTTTAAGGGCCGAGAGAGAAGGGGAACAAGTTTTGCGATGCAACCGATTTGACCAGCAGACAAAGGCGGTGCTGGGCTGTGTCTAATGTACACACAGAGACACAGCTCTATCCCTGCAGCCAAGAAGAGCTCAGGGCCTGTTTGCAAAGCTTCTCACAGTTTCTGTTTTTCTGCCTCCACCATCCTTTCTGGGAAGCCCACTGCTTGTGCTCCCCTGAGCTCCCTGGGTCTCCCCCTAGGTTTGCATAGCTGTCCCAGGCATACAGTACCTCCTGGCCAGATTGAAGGCCTCGGGCTGGAGGCTGCTTCCTCTTAAGGTAGCCGCCTGTTTTGCCCCAGGAACCGGCAGGCAGTCGGCAGCACCCTCAGGCCAGAAGAGGCTCCAGTATGGCTAGAGGGCCTGTCTGAGGACTCTTAGACATCTGCTGTCCGACCATTGCCCTCAGGGAGTTACCTGTGAGTGGAAGGACAGAAGGGGGCTAAGCTGCAGGCGCAGGGGCTCCACCTTGCTTCATCATCGAAGACTAGTTTGAAGACTAGCCGGGAGCTACACGGTGTACTTTAAAGAGCCTTGTGAGGCTCACCAAGTCGGAGTCCACCCCGGCAGCTGTATCTAGTGGCCCCATGGGGAGAGTGTGAGCTTGTCCGCTGCAGTTGGGAGACTTCAGCGCCAGTCGGAGGCTCAAGCCTAAAAGTATAAAGAATTGGGGGTAGGGCCGGAGTGGGAAACAGAGTTAGGGGCCAAGGGTTCCAAGGCCTCAATTTCGCTGAAGAGATTGAGGAATAGCCCAAGAACCAGCAGAAAGGACAACTGGGTCTTCTCAGAATGACTCGGCTGTCTCAGTTTCACTTTGTTCCAGCCGGGAGCGGCTTAGATGGAACAGAGCAAGGCTACAGAAGGGCCGAGACGCTGTGGGACTGAGTCCTGGGAGTTCTGCTGTGCTGTATTTGCCAGCAGAGACTCAGTCCAGGCTCGGGTGAGCAGGCAAGAAGGGCAAGGCTGAGGCGATGAGGCAAAAGTGACGGATGAAGCCATATTTTGAGGTCGGGAGCCGAGGCTAGACCCCATTTCGTTGTTTCACAAAAGTGGACAGGAGGCTGCCTAGCCACTCCACTTGCTGTCGGGTTGGTCAGGGGTCTACTTGGGTTATAGCAGCTGATCAAGGGGAGAGGATGGATGAGGTGGAGGGGCTGGCCTCTCTGGGGGAAGCCATGAGTGGGCTGCTCTTTGGGGTTGGGCCCTGGCCGAGCAGAGTGAGGGTCAGCTCCTGCAACCTCATCCTGGCTGCCCTTTGCATGCCTCCTGCTTTCTGCCTGCCAGGGTATAGTTTGGGGGGGGGGTGCCCTCCTAGTAACCGAGGTGACTGAGCCCCTGGCTGCCCCCAGGCGCATGTTCCCCACGTTCCAAGTGAAGGTCTTCGGCATGGACCCCATGGCTGACTATATGCTGCTCATGGACTTTGTGCCGGTGGACGACAAACGCTACCGGTGAGTAGACAGTAGACGGGACATCCTGTAGGGCCTATGGGAGAGGCAGTAGGGGACCTGGTAAGGAGCCTTGGGGAAGTAATGGGTCTCTTCTGAGTGACCATCCATCCCCATGTGCCACCCATGCCCGCCCCAATCCGAGCTACCCAGGTTCCTCTTCCATCCCTCCTAGTTGTACCCCAGACCTGTACACACACTGCTCTCCCAGCCATTTTTGGGAGCCCCTCAGGACTGCAGGGAACCCCTAAGGACTGCAGGCTTGCCTGAGAGTGCGCTCACATCCCCTCCCCCACAAGCCCATCTTTCTCAACTCTCTTTCTCTCCCACATGGCCAGTGTGGGCACCTTATATCCCCACTCCCCTTCCCCCCAAGGGCACTGGGCCCCAGAGCCGGGCAGGAAAGGTGGGGTGGCCTGGAGAGATTATACAGGGCGGGCCTCCGCTGCCTGGACAATTAACAGCAATTAATAAAGCAGTGAATGTGGACCGCCCTGCGCCCCAGGCCGCCTGCGCAGCCAAATCAGGGTTCCAGCCTTGCACTGCTCCTGGACACTGGCAGGGAGGCCAAGTGGCTGACCCGGGTGCGACGAAATTGGGCACAGATAGGAGCTCAGCTCCCTGATTGTTTTGCGTATTGGGAATGCAGAAGTTTCCCCACTTTTCCCGCAATCTTCGTCTAAAAGCCCCTCTGCCTATAAGGCAGCTGGTGGGATGCTCTGGAATGAGCAATTTCCTGGGTGGGGAAACTTATCAGAGGCACTTTCAGGGTTTGCCTGGTGGGTGGCACGATGCCCTCTTGCTTCACCCCAACCTTGGTGATGCCCCCAGGTATGCCTTCCATAGCTCCTCGTGGCTGGTGGCCGGAAAGGCAGACCCTGCCACACCAGGCAGGGTGCACTACCACCCGGATTCGCCTGCCAAGGGTGCACAGTGGATGAAGCAAATTGTGTCCTTTGACAAGCTCAAACTGACCAACAACCTGCTGGATGACAACGGCCATGTGAGCCACCCCCCTTCCCCCTCCCCAGGCTTTCCAAGCTCTGAGTGGGAAGCCCTACAGACAAGGAGTTGGGCTGGATGGAGCTGGCCCAGGTCAGGGGCTTGCCCAGCTGCCGGGCCTGGGGAGTACCCTCCCTTACTCTTCTCACTCCTGGAAGTTTTTAAACTATTTAAGAGTGGGGTTGTGGATGGTGGAGTGGGGACCCAGGCTGCCCTCCTGCAGTCCTGTATCGATTCTCCCAGGACCCAAAGGAAGAGAACCTCTGCCCCAGATCTTCTGCCAGACAAAGTGCTGGGCCCTGTTTCATTGCAGGAGTTCAGGGATTTGCCCCCAGTTCTCAGGAAATTTCACTGCCTACTCCACCTAGTCCTCGGAGCCAGCACACCGCTGGAGCTGAGCGTCACCCACCTTGCTTTCCAGATTATTCTCAACTCTATGCACAGATACCAGCCCCGCTTCCACGTTGTCTATGTGGACCCACGAAAGGACAGTGAGAAATATGCCGAGGAGAATTTCAAAACCTTTGTGTTTGAGGAGACTCGCTTCACAGCCGTCACCGCATACCAAAATCACCGGGTGAGGGCCTGTGGGGAGGCCCTGAGTAGGCCCCCTCTGTCCCTGGCTCCTATCGGGAACCCGCTGAAAATCTATTATTTTGGGGAGGGAGGCAGTTTTCAGTCACCGCGGTGGGTCAGGCGGCTTGGACCCCAGTGCCATGGGTCCCTGAGGCCTCAGAGCTTTAAGCTGTCCCCTTTTTCTCCTGCCCCCTGCCTGCCCAACCCCCAATCAGTTTGACCTTTCAAACGGGAAATGTCACTGCAGTCTGCAACTTTTATTTTCTAAACCATGTGGGGAAAACTCCCCTACAGGCGACTGATCTGGGATTTGCCCAAATTCTGGGTGCCCATTCTGTTCCTTACATGGGCCAATGGGATCTAGGGCAACCACACTTCCATATTCTGTGGGAGGGGGCAGATGCAGACTGGGGGGAGTCAGTGGACATTGAGGGGCCTCTCCTGAACAGAGATTGAGGGAGGTGGGGAGACCCAGCAGAGGAGAGAGCAGCTTGCTAGCGCTTGTTTCCCGGCAGATCACGCAGCTCAAGATCGCCAGCAACCCCTTCGCCAAAGGCTTCCGGGACTGCGACCCTGAGGACTGGTGAGTGTCTTCTTATCAAGCAGGGGGTTCTCGGAGCCCGGCCGGGTGGGGGGCAGCCCTGACTCGCCACCCGCTCCTTCCCTCAGGCCTCGAAATCACAGACCCGGCGCACTGCCCCTCATGAGTGCCTTTGCGCGCTCGCGGAATCCTGTGGCCTCCCCCACGCAGCCCAACGGCGCGGAGAAAGGTAGGAACCCGGTCGTGGGATTTCGGCGGAGCCCTGCGCGCGTTCGGCCCCGGACCGCCTGCCGCGCCCGGCCTCGCCTGCGCCCCCAGGGCGCTTGCGGCCTTCGCGCCGGTTGCACAACGGCCGTGGCGGCGGGCAAGCGCTCACTCGCCCGCCTGGCCGACGGCTGCGCCCCGCCTTCCCGTCCCGCCCGCCCGCCCGCCCGCCCGCAGAGGGGCGCGGACCCCGGGGGAGGACCCGGGCACCGCCGGTCGCGGGGGCGTAGAGAGGCGCGGAGAGTGCGCGCAGTGAGTCTCGAGCGCGGCCACCTCCCAGCTGGGTAGCCTTGGCGCGGTCCAGGGCGACTGCGCTCAATCCTCGGTCCTCCAGCAGACGCGGCCGAGGCCCGGAGAGATTTCGAGCGCGACGCGGGCGGGCCGGCGGGGCTCGGGGATCCGGCGCCCCCGCCGCAACTGCTGGCGCGGGTGCTGAGCCCCGCGTTGCCCGGGGCCGGCGGCGCCGGCGGCCTCGTACCGCTACCTGGGGGTCGCCCCAGCCCCCCGCATCCTGAGCTGCGTCTGGAGGCGCCCGGCGCGTCCGAACCGCTGCACCACCACCCCTACAAGTACCCGGCCACTGCCTACGACCACTACCTCGGGGCTAAGAGCCGGCCGGCGCCCTACCCACTGCCTGGCCTGCGTGGCCACGGCTATCATCCTCACGCGCACCCGCACGCGCATCCTCACCCGCACCACCACCCTGCTGTGAGTTCTGCTGCGGCTGCGGCTGCGGCCGCCGCCGCTGCCGCCGCCGCCAACATGTACTCGTCCGCTGGGGCCGCGCCGCCAGGCTCCTACGATTACTGCCCAAGATAAGGCGGCCGAAGCTGGTCCCTCCCGACGCGAGGTCCCGTGCAGGTCGCCCTGCGCAGCCCCAGGGCCATCGAGGTCCGCCCACGCAGCCCCGAGGGCCACCAAAAGAACCTGCCCTCCACCCTCCACCAGTCTTGGGAGACACCGTGGAATTCTTCCCAGCCCCGAGGGCCACGGGGGTCTCCGCCCACCAGTGCCAAAACGCCGGGTCCAAGGCGGAAGGAAGTGATATTTATTGTTCTCGCTGAGACCGCGTTGCTTCCCCGGCCCGGGCGGTATTTGCAGTGTAGACGACCGGATTGCCTTGTCTGCAGGCGGTGTAGATACATGTAGATATGTGTAGATACTGTAGATACCTCGCCTGGCGCCGACTTGATAAACGATTTCGCCTCTTTTGGAAACTGCTTACGTGTCCATTTTTTTGCGACCAAATGAATGACGGTCCTGGGGAGCGAGTCCTGGGTGACTGGAAGACTGACTTTCGGGGGGGGGGGGGGGCGGCGCGGTGTGGAGCCCCGTCCCGGCAGTCCCTTACCACTCTCTATCCCTCTCAGTCCCCTTCCCTCCTCTCCCCTTCCTCGCAGTCCCCTCCCCCTCCTCCCCAAGCCTTCTAAGCTCCCTCCTGCGGACCCTCGGTCCCACACACGTCTCCCCAGCCAAGTCCTCTGGGCCCGCGCACTTCCCTCACCCACTTCCCACCTAACAGCTTTACCCTGGCCTCCTTTGGGCCTTAGCTGTGCGTCCCCGACTTTTTCCTGAAACTTTTCCCATCTGCAGTTGCCCTGGTCTCTTCTCAAACAGGAATCTGGGATCGATTTTAAGCATTCTTCACCAAAACCGGTATAAGCGACTAACCTGCCACTGCAAGGTGTGGTTTGAGTGCATCTTGCATCTGTCCAGACCAAAGGAATGGGTCACCCCAAAGCCCACAGACTCCCTGAGTATCCGCTAGCCCAACATCCATCCCTCCTGGCTGGCCCTAGGCCCACCTGCAACTTCCTCTGTTTATTGACTTTGTTCACTTTGAGCATCCCCATGGAGTGACCTGGGCAAGGGACACAATCACAGTGACCATGAGTCATTTCAAAACCTGTCTGTGAAGCATTTTCCCTAGCCAGGTGGCTGAGAGACCTCTCCCGGCTAACTCAACACTAGGGATGGGGCCAGAGGAAGCCTTTGATCCCTCCCTTCCTGAGACAAGCAGGAAAAGCTGACAGCCATCCAGTGTCAAGGCTGCACACTTGGATGTGAGATGGGGGAAAATGCAAGTCTACATGACTCTGAACCGGCCCTCCTGACTTGTCCCCATGGACTTGCCAGTCACTGCCCTCCAACCTGGCTCATCGCTTTACTGAGGATGTGAGACAGCATCCGTGTCCCCCTCCTCCCCCCCAAAGGATCCCACAGGTGTTTCCCGAGGATGGCCCTGGACAGATGTGTTCTTCTCAGCTTGGTTTGGCCTGGTGGCATGAAGTGACCAGGGGGCTCAGCACAACTACTGAGGTAGGTCTAGGAAGGGAGGGAGTAGCCATGGTTTAGGGAGAGCTGGAAATAGCTTGCTGGCTGGCCCTCTGGAAGCAATGTCCATTCACTTTCTCAAAGACCATCCAACCCCAGGCATGAAGCCTCCTGCAGCATCTGCCCAAGTGACCACCAGCCTCCATGGACACAGCTTTGGAGATGCACTCAGAAAGGCATACTGACCTGCTCATCTTTATGTCTTACCCCACTCCACACACACACACACACACACACACACACACACACACACACACGTACAGTCTCTGTTGAGTCAGCTGTCTTCTTTGTAAAGCAGAGCTGGTTAGCTACCATCATTACTGGTCCCCTTGTCCACAGGCGCTCAGGGATGCTCTGGGCTTTTCGGAAGCAATGGGCTGGGGTTTATGCTACAGCATCAACTTCCCCAGGGGTACTTTCGCCTCATCTCCCTAAGGCCCTGCTGCCACAAACACACTTCCAGCACCCAAGCAGTCCTGGTGTTCTGGTGAGAACCCCAGTGAGAACCTCCATTTTGCTTTATTCGAAGCTAGAGTGAGCAAATGCACCTTGGAAAGAATGGGCTGGCTTCCAGACTTTGTGAATAGCAAACCCCTGGTGAGGTGCACAATCAGTGTGCAGTGCAATGCAGGACATACCACTTGCCCATTGTCACCCAGATCAAGAAAGTTGTGCTTTGGTGAACACTAGCCAGATGTGGCCATTGACATTTTAATTAGTTAAAAGTTCATTTACTTTAACATTCAATTACTCACTAGCTACATTCCAAGAGCTCAATGACATGGGTGCGTGGTGGTCCCAGCTTCCCAGAGCATTCCAAGCACCCATACACAACCTTCTTGTCCCTCTGTCACTATAGATGAATCTGCCCCTTTAGGAGCTCCTGGTCCTAGCTCTTGTGAAGGGCAGCTGGCCAACAGATAGTGTGGTAGGCCATGCCCTGTCCTCCACTCCCCCCCCTCCCCCCCCACACACACAAGTGAAGGCAAGGTATCCTCTCTCAGCATCCCGAGCTCTTAACTCCCTAGGCCACCTTTGAGGGAGGGGAGGGGCTGCTCTATCATCCAGATGGGGAAAGGCTCCTTGTCATTAATTTTTTCCTTAGTTGAGTATTTGGGGGAGTACATCACCAGCTGCTACGTGAATCCGGGTTTGGGCAGATAACTGAGCTGATTTTGGACCGTTCTTGACGGCCTTGGGAGCATCTTTGCTGCTACCATTCTCTGCTTGTCCCTTCCCCATGTCTCTGTGCTAGGAGTGCTCAGAGCCCCCAGCATCCTCCACCTTGGCTGTGAGCCTCCTTTGTTCTCCCATTCCCTTCCTTTGGCTTCCTCAGTTGACCCAGAGGCCCTGGCCCAGGCCCCTAACCTATCTGTAGGTTCCAGCTGCCTTAAGTTAGAAGGGCAGTGATTGGAAGAGAAAGGCCCCCAGAAATCTAGTCCTGGAACCCCAAACTCTAAATCCATGAGGTCATTCCAGAAACAATAGCTGCCCAACTTTATAACAAGTGTTTCTGCCTATGTGGAGGAGAAGGCAGGCCCTGCCCACTCCCCACTTCACTCTTTAGCAAACGAAGATTTTAGAGAGCTACAGGCCCAGAGTGATATTGGACAGTCCTGTAGTACTCCAGCTCACTGTTTCCAGAGGCAGAGACTGGACCCAGGGCCATCATGTGTTCTGACCAGGAGGCCACAGGGGCCACTGATGGAATATGACTAGAGCCATGCACCCACTGCAACTGCCTTCCCTGGTTCTGGGGTGCTTTTCAATTGGGTGTAAATGTCTCCCCACTCAGAAGTGGGTGGAGAATTCTGAGTGCTGATTGATCTCTCAGACCACCATGGCTGAGGCCTATGGCATGTGGCAGCCTCTCATCTCCTCCAAAAGTTCCAACACACAAATCATAATGACTTCTATTTAGTGGGTGAGGTAGAGTCCCTGGGTAATGAGAATGGTTCAGCACTGGGCTACTAAGCAGAAGGTTGGTGGTTCAAATCCACCTCCAAACAAAGGCCTGGTGATTTGCTTCCGAGGTCACAGCCTTGAAAAGCTTAGGAATAGCTCCACTGTGCACATGTGGGGCCACCATGAGTAGGAATTGACACACTGGCAGCTGGTTGGTTGTTTCTTTTTTTATGACTAAGAGGATGGGCTGGGGAATGAGGAGGTTCTGTGTTCCACTTGCTGGCCAGTTGGAGAAAGCTCTGGAGCTGACCCCACCACTAACCACACCCCCTACTGGCATTGAAACAGAACTGATAATACCCAACAGCCTTGTGGTAAGAAAGCTAAAGACCTACAGCTACAGTGCCAAACAAGTGTGGGGGACAGACAGCAACTAAAGAAGCTGGTAGCAGCTGTTTTCCCAAAAGGGAAGCACTTAGGGTCCCCTCAGAATAGTGTCCTGTGCAATGGGGTCCCGAGGCTAGAGTGTGCTGGGAGTTTGCCCAATGTCCGAGTCATTGGTGGAGTATGGAGCCTGGCAGTTGTGTGGCTCCAGTCTCCCACCCTGGGGAGTGCGCCCCTACAGCTGGCAAAGTCCATGAGCCAGTGGGATCCACTCTGATGTGAGGGTGCACATATCCCCAGGTATGCTGAAGATCAAAGTGACCTGCAAATGAGAGAACCCACGTGGCCAGAGCCGCCAAGGACAGAGGGCAGTGGCTTAGCAACTTCTTCATCCCAAGGGATGAAAGGAATGATTCTGGGGGTAGCAGATGTGCACCCCAATCTGGGGTCAGAAGGCTGGGGGAAGAGAAAGGTCTCTGTGTGTTAACCTACTCCCGTTTGTTTCCAACAAAGTGTTTAAGTACTTGAGGCTGTGAAAATGCTGAACTTGGGGTGTGAGGCAGACCGGGTCCTGGATCTCCATTTCCCCTGGCTGCCATGAGGTCATTCTAGGATAGTTGTTGGGGGTACTTCCCCTTTTCTCGTGGATTCCAGTGGTGGTCCCAAACGGACAGATCTGGGCATCTGTATTTGGAAACATCTGCCCCCGCCCCCCCCCCCCACACACACATACACACACAGAAGCCAGGCTCTTGGCCTGACACCACCTCTGCTGACCCAACTGCATCCAACAGAGGCCGGTGTGAGGAGCAGGCAGGGACGCAGGCTGGAGAGGGGAAGACAGGGGTTTCCACTGGTGTCACCTCACACATTTTCTGTATTTTAAAACCCACAAACCAAGCCTTTGATTCCATTCCCTTTCCTGCTTGTTGGACTACTTCAAACCAGATGGGTTCAAGAGATGAGACTTTGAAGCCATAGTGTCTCCATTTAGCGGTTGCCAGGTCTGTGTGTGTGTGTAAGAACGGAACCCAAGGTATTTTGCTAAAAGCAGGCCACGTGGGGGGGAAAGCTTAGGTTTTAATAGCAGTCATTAAATTATCTTCTTAATTATAAAGAGGAATGTCATCCTTGACATCCTCTATCTATCAGCTTTCAATTGCATAAAGCAAGCAGTTAATCCCCTCCCTCCCTGC